GTTCTCATCTTCCAGCTCCCCAGCTACTCCGCGTACTAAAGTTGTACCACAAAGTCGCCAGTTCTCAGCTTCCACCTCCACAGCTTGCTCCGCTGCATTTCGCGCACTCGGCACGCACGATCTCCGCAGAGGGTCGCGCGGTAATTTCACACATCGCACTCTTGCCTGCATTTCGCGCACTCGACGCGCACGATCTCCGCAGAGGGTTGCGCGGTATAATTGCATAAATCGCGCTCTCGCCTGCGTTTCGCGCACTCGACACGCCCGATCTCCGCAGAGGGTGGCGCCGTAATTTCACGAACAGCGCTCTCGCCTGCATTTCGCGCACTCGACTCGCACGATCTCCGCAGTGGGTTGCGCGGGCACCCGGCGCGCGGCGCTCTCACCTGCATTTCGCGCACTCGACACGCACGATCTCCGCAGAGGGTTGTGCGCGCAGCCGGCGCGCGGCGCTCTCGCCTGCATTTCGCGCACTCGACACGCACGATCTCCGCAGAGGGTTGCGCGCGCAGCCGGCGCGCGGCGCTCTCGCCTGCATTTCGCGCACTCGACACGCACGATCTCTGCAGAGGGTTGCACTTTCGGTTGACGCTGTTCGTCCCGCCCTCCGCCTTTAAGAGAGAATTTATAAAGTGGGGAAATGTTTTTTCATTAGGACATCTCCCGTGCTAGCTTTCCATACTCACACTTGCTTACTCATTGCATGCTTGCATGCTCCATGCATGCTTGCGTACCCATCACTTACATACTTACACTGCGTGCTTGCCGAGTGTCAGTGTGTATGTGTAAGTGTCAGTGTCGAAGTGTCAGTGTATGTAGTGCGAATGTGGTGGACGTGTCAGTGTGTAAGTGTAAGTGTCGAAGTGTCAGTGCTCAAGGGATTTTCCGGAAGAACCCTTCGCAGTGCTGTCGGGAAAAACATATGCAACAAATCGTCTCCATGTGGCCCATGACCCCACGACATGGCGTGCCAAGCCCTAAGGGCTTGGGGGATCTGTGCACCCTTGCCATGCAATGCCATGCTAATGTTCTCGGTATTTGACCTGGCGCAGAAAACATGGCAGCGTCAGCGTCTTCAACAAAAAAGGTCTAGCGAAGATGCGAGACTTGCGGTAAAACCACCCATGAAGACCACATGACGTCACCCCACTGTACCAAGGTCACAGCCAAATCGCCATCGCTCACAAGAACACACCTCAATACACATCACCACTGGCAGACAAAGGGTGACACAGCACACGATTGTTGGCGCATGTTTGACTGTTTGGAGCAAGCACACTCCAGGCTGTTGGCACAAACCATACGGCTGCAAGAAGTGCAAACAAAAGAGAGGCACACAATCAAGACGAGGAAGACCACCAACAGGGTTTTGATAAGTTAGGCCTGAACATGTTTCCTGCTGCCAACCGGTGTGGCGAACTGGTGAATTCTTTCAGCAGTTAAGAGAGAGGATTATGCACCCCTTTGGCGGCTTTATAGTCTCATATGTGCCATTTGTGAGCTTGGCAAGTGTCAGAATTCGCAAAAGGTTGATTCATCTAATTCATCTATTTGCAACCCGTTATATAGACTATACAGTCATTGGCCTCGAATGAGATTGAATCCAAGGTGGCAGACAAAGAGGAGCTTATCCAGGAGGTGCAAAGCTGAGAGTTCGGAGGTCAAGACCTAGAATGTGCACTTCTTCACATCTTCAAATTTCACAAATGGGGGAGGAACTCATGAAATGGCTGTTTAGCCTCTTTCCAACCCTGTCAGCGCCCCAAGATCGGACGGGTTTTTCAACCGTTCGCATCCACAATCGTGGATCTGTGTGACAGCCAGCGCCTAGCGGAGAGGCGTGTGCGATGCTCACCAAGAGTCAGCTCTTTACACCATCCTTTGGCTTTCCCTTCCATGTCGAAGGTGAGAAACGGACACGTCGCACACGGTGCCGACGGCCGACCGCCATTCGGCCAGTCACGGAGCCGGTCGTAGCTCGTCTTCGTGGCTCGTTTTCGGCTGGTCGTGGACGAGTCGGTTGGTCTGACTTTCAGGGGTTTGGTCGCCACTGCGATT